AAATAACTGACTTTCTAAAAAATTGAATCAAATATTGATCAACTATCACATGTAGTATCACAACCTCTACTTTTTATATTGAAGCAAATAATACTAATGATGTGAATTATGTTGAGAAAGAGTTAAAACTGGTAAAAATACCAAAAAGATATGAACGCAAACAACTGTTGATATATCTTTTTGTGAAATATCAGCTCTGACTTTGGCAGAATACTGCACTGAGAGAATAAAAAAACTGGTTTCCATTATTGTATCTTTTTAATTTTAGACAAAAATTGCTTCCATTCCCAACTTAATTTTATGTCACTAATGGGAAATTTACCTACAATTGCATTTTTGTTATTTGGTCTGAATGCATTACGCAGAGAGTGGATTGGCACTCTGTATTTCAGAATGAACAGATTTGTCTGGATATAAACAGTTTTATTTATATTGTGCCCAATTCAATCATGTTAACATTTGTATGAATTTCAACTCCAAAATAAAGGCCCATAATTTGTGACTGTAAGACCTTGAAACTGCATCTGTAATCGTCGTCAACACCAGCGCTTTCTGTTTGCAGGCGACAGATTCCTCGGTAATGGGACGGGTGATCGGGGAGCGGTGCTTCCGTCCGAGATGGTGCTCGGTGCAGAGCAAGCTCAGGTGCAGCAGCTCTTTCACCTTGGGCTCCTCGCCTGGTGGCTCTGGGGTCCATTGGTTTCTTTGCTTGAGGCCCAGCGTCAGGCCCGGTGGGTGGGTGACGGGGCGGTGGTCCTGCTCCCCATGTGGTCTGGCGAGGATGGTGAATGGGTGCGTGCTGAGGCCAGCTTAGTCCCCAGCCCACCAATTTGAGGAAGGGGCCTCAGTCCCGGTCCTGGCTGTCACCCACTGGGCTTCTGGGCAAGTCACTGTCCTTGGTCCTCAGCTCACTTCCGGGTGGTGTGCCACGCCCCTGGACTTCACCAGGATGAGCCCTAATGGTTCTCGTGAGCACTGTGCAGTCTGGAGTACCCTGCCTGGAAGTCGTGGTGGGTGAGCTCCTCAGAGGCACAGGCTCAGGAAGCCTGAGAGCAAGCACTGGCTCAGGCACTTGGTCTGGGCCAGGAGGGCTCCCAGGCTGAGTTCGCAGAGGTAGAGATGGAGAGTGTGAGCATGTCAGAGGAGAGCAAGGTTCACCTGCAGGATCTGCCGGTGGGCGTGGGGCGAGACTGGGGTGTCGAATGTAGGCAGCATCCTGTGCCGCTGGCCAGACTGGGACTGTGGAACTTGAGGAGCATGATGTGGAAATGTCTGTCTGTCTGTCTGTCGCCGCAGTGGGCTCTGCAGCCCACATTAAAGGTCAGCAAGAGGAGTCTGTGGCTGATGAGGCAGAGCCCCAATTCTCCTCCCTGCTGCAATGCCAGCTCCGTTCACATGGCTGCACCCCAGCTTCGGCTGACAGAGCTGCACTCTGACGATGCGCACAGAGACCATTTCCCTGTGAGCTCCACGGAGCGCTTACAAAGTGGCAGTGGCCGTGCTGAGCTCTTACTGCCACGCACCAGCCTGCGCTGGCTCCAAGCAAGGCATGCTCACCACCCCGCCAGGGCTGGAGTGACTCCAGGGCCATCATGGTGAGCAGCGGCAGCTGGACACAGCCTCCGTCTGACGACAACTCCTCTGCCAGCTGCTGCTTAGGCCTCCACGGCTGTCCAGTCCCAGGGCAGGCGCCTCCTTCCAGTGCCTCAAGCCCTGGGCATGTGGTTGGCAGGAGGACAAGGTGATCGATCCCTTGGCCTTCTGGTGAGCCCAAGGGCACCCCAAGGACAGGCACGAGCCCATGGTCTCGGGGTGACCCAGGGCGCTCTGCTCTGCTCACTTCCAGGCCTCCAGCCCCTGAACCCGGTTCCTCGTGGCCAGAGCGGGACCCGAGACTCACGGGGAAGCAGGGTGGGGTGCTAGGAGAGCAGACAGCAAAAGGCTGAGGGGCAGGGTGTCCTGGTGGCGCTGTGTGCTGGAAGGCCAAGGAGGAGCCCGGAACCTGAAACGGGAAAGGAGCTGCCCAGAAGCCAGGGCAGAAGAAACCAGGGAGGGGAGGAAAGGCTGGGCGCGAATGGCGTCAAACCCTCCTTTGTGACTCTGAATAGACAAGGGCCTCCGCAGGTGCGGGAGTGAGTTGAAGATCTATAGGTGCTGAAATCATGAAAATTCTCTAGTTAGTATTTTTTGAGAGAAATCAGTGCTATGTTCCCTTTGAGAATTTAATAGGTCTAAATGATGCCTGCAGAATTTATATCTGTGCTCTGCACCAGGGCTCGACAGTTAGTATGAAAACATTCCTGTAAAGACTGGTGCTCTGTCGTCCCATTTTATAGATGGGAGGACTGAGGGGGTGGAGAAGTTCGGTGCCTTGCCAGAGTCACATAATTCAAGGTTGGGGGAACAGGATGTGATCAGAGGCAGTCTGACTTGGATGCTGGTGTTCTTACTCTGAGTCACCATGGGATACCGGTTCCTGGTTGGATTTCCTTAGTTGACATTTGACTACTGCTCTAAGGTATAGTTTTGTCCTTTCTATCTGGGAAGGAGGACGGTCCTAAAGGCTGTGTTTCAAGGAGGATTAGTCCAAGACAGAGGCCCTGCTTGGAGGGGCAGCTTGCTGTTGAAGGGCCCCTTGCCCTGTCTGGCTGGGGCACCCCCAGCACCCTGCCTGCAGATCTCGGGAGGCTGAGCGTAGATCAGGACTTCGGGTGAGAAAATAGCATCAGCGGTTCTCTTCTGAGACGTGGCAACCATGCCAGAGCAGCTGCTCTGTGTGGAGGTATTAAGTGTTGGGAGACACTTGTGTGTCTAATTCCAGCCCAAACAACCTCCTCCTGGCTCCCTGGGAGCAGAGAACCCCGAGTGTTGGCGCCTGTCTTTGAGGGGAGAGGTTTGTCTGCCGTTTCCTGTATAGATGCTTCCCCTCCAGTTGTTAAAACGAGGATGGTGCACTTCACACGCAATCCACATACAGTGAAGCGCGTGCGGACCGAGTCCTGACGGGGTCTGTGCCCATGCAGCCACCAGAGTCCCTGTGTGTCCCGTGCGGCTGGGCCCCACGCCCACTCTCACTCTGACGCTTGCCTGTGGATGGGTGGTTCTGCCTGAGCTCGGGTGGGAGGGACTGGAACTGCAGCAGTTGGGTGTCCACCGTGCCCTGGGGCGGCCCTTAGCGGCCACAGGAGGGCCAGCAGCGGCGGGAGTCCTTGCAGACAGAATGAGGGGAGACTTGCCCCTGCTCTCCTGTGGGGTGCAGGGCAGTCAGCCCCAACTCCCCGCCCTTTAGGAGTTTAGTTTAGACTCTGCTCATGGGTGAGCGTGATGGATTTTTGGAAGGAAGTTGCAATTGTGAGTGGTTTTTTTTTTGGTATGGGGGATCAAATTCCGGACCTTGTACTTGTCAGGCAGGTGCGGTGCACTGACCTAAACCCCGGCCCGTCCAGTGGTCTCTGTAGAAAGGGAGCATGGTGGACGCTTTCCCCGCGCCTCTTCACCAGCGCCGGTGCTGGGGCTGATGACCCGCGTGGGCGGGCTGTGCAGTTAGAGCATGCGCACCTCACGTCCACGCCAGGCCAATGGCAGGAGACGGCCCCGCCCGCCGGAGTGCAGCCCTGCCGGCAAGCGGAATCTCCTGTGGGAGCCAGAACTGCAGACAGACGGCGCACGAGCGAGAGCTATACTCCTTCGCTGGCTCGGAGTGCGGGCACTATTTATACTCAGCATGCTCAGCACCAGATTGTTCAATCTTAATACTGAAACAGTGCATCATTTTAATATTTTTGTTCAGTTTAGTCCCTGTTTTCAAGCATTATGTCGAGCACTGCGCATTCATCAATTTCGTCTTGGACAGGACGTGCCCTGGCCACTCCCGCCCTTGTCTGGGGTCGGACTTCTGTCCCGTAGCTGTCAGGCATCACTTTTCGGAGCTCTTGAGGGTGCACTTGGTAGACAGGTGTCCTGTGTCTCCTTGGTGATTAGAAAAAGATGTATTTAATGAACAGTGCAGTTGGACTCACCTGTGTTGTCAAAAATAAAAGTGCTCTCACTTTGTATATGTGACATTTTGTGACGCCCTGGGGCCACTGGACTTCCCGAAGCATCGTGCTGAAAGTTTTGTTCATCTGTGTCATGTGGGAGGCCAGTTCACTGTTTGCTCTCACACTGTTCCACGTGCCATGCATGCCTGGCCAGGCCCGTCCTGCGAATGCAGTGGTGTGTCCACTGTGTGTGCAAGGCCTTCTCCCACCTCCCCCTGCCCCCTGGGTGCCCTGACCTCGCTGCTCTGAGGAGCCTCTCTCTGGCCCTTTCTCCCGCACATCCGCCCAGGGAGCAGGTGACTGTCATGTTCTAAAAGAGCCCGAGTACAGAAAGAGAAGGGAATCGGAGACATCTTGGCCACTTCTGTCTGAGGTCTGTGTGGTCCTGCTTGTGGCCCCAGAAGCAGCCCCTGTGGCTGGGGGGGTGGGGGTGGATCTAGGGGCAAACCCCAGGCCCTGCACCCCAGGAATCTCACCACAAGCACAAGGGACCATGTGCCGAGCCCACACACAGAAATTTTCTTGTTCAATTCAAAACTGAATCTCGTATTTACTTGAAGCTTGCTTTTTTTTTGATCTATGAAATCAGCAGTCCTGTATATTTAGCATCAGTCTCAGCTGAGACTGTGAACAAGACTTTGGGGGGAGGAAGTATCCGTATGGCTTCCTCAGTGATTTAAGAAACAGGAAGACATAAAAGAACTGATTGTCCCTGGTTCAGCTTCACCCTTCCCATGCCCATCTCCCCATGGAGCTGGCCACTCGGTGTCCCCAGCAGGGACCACTCGCTGCCACTCACTGCCTTAAAGCAGCCAGCGTGGGTGGGCTCTGTTACGGGCCGACAGGCATTCCGCAGCCTTGACTGCTGGCTGTTGCGTGACCTCCTTAACAGTGCCCAAACAGTGGGAAGGGTTCATAAATAGCGGCTCTGTGTTTATGATGTTTTTCTTCCCTGTGCAGGAATAATCAAGCTGGGGAGGTGGAACCCCCTCCCCCTCAGTTATGTGACAGACGCACCCGACGCCACTGTGGCCGACATGCTACAAGATGTCTATCATGTCGTGACGTTGAAAATCCAATTACAAAGGTGGGTGTTCCTGAACATCTGCCTCTCCTTCCTCTCCGAGCTGCTCTGTGATCAGAGTTTCACTGCGGAGATTAGCACGTCCCGAGTTCATTAATTTCCAGACATTGATGGAGGGAGAAGGAGGAGGAAGTGCAGGAGGGCAGGAGGCTTCCTGGGCACCTTTATGGCCCCCATTCCAAGAGCTTATGCTTTATTTTCAGAGCAGTGAAGTATCCCTGTCCTGGGCAGTGGGGCCAGTGCCTACAGCTCTGCAGGGGGTGGTGGGGCCCCACCCATCAGTGGGGTGCACAGCTGCTGCTCGGGAGGGTGGACCCCTGAGGCTGCAGCACCGGGTCGTGGGCCAGGTTGGTTCTTGGAGCAGGTTCACCAAGGACCTGCAGGCCTGAGGTCTGTCTTCCCTCTCTGGTGGCCGATGTGGTGAAATGCATGCTGAGGGGCAGAGCTTCCAGGCCCAGGCCCTTCTGGATAGGATGTCCAAAGCAAGGGGCACCGGGAGAGAACCCTGAGGTTCTGGTGCTTTTTATTGTGAGGCGCCTGCTAGGCATGAGGAAAGGGCCGCTTTCCTTCATCGTAAGGGTTTGAATTTTCTCCTTTTGGAGGATTTATACAGTGCCAGGGGCCCAGGGGCCCTATCCTTACTGGAAACGCTTGATGTATTATCTTGAGAGTTATCTTCGGTTGGGAATTCTTTTGTGCGGGAAAGATGGCCCTTCAGACTTCTGATGCAATGGGACACGTGTTGACATCTAACTTTGGGAATGCCGCCATGCCATTTCCATCAGCTCTTTGGAAAAGTCCCCTGTTCAAAAGCAGCATGTCCTCCTTTCCAAAGCTATGATGTTCCCTAGGCTAGTGATGACGTAGAGACCCTGTCTCCTGAACCCAGCGAGGGTCACTCCCCGTGGTACTGGGACCCTGGTGTGACGTCCCTGAGGTCTGTCGTGGGGTCGCTGTCAGTGTCACTCTGTTTTGCAGCTGTTCAAAGTTGGAAGACTTGCCAGCGGAGCAGTGGAACCATGCCACCGTCCGCAATGCCTTAAAGGAGCTGCTCAAAGAGATGAACCAGAGCACACTAGCCAAAGAATGCCCTCTCTCCCAGGTTAGTGTCTGGGCGGCTGGGCGGGCGCGCACTTCCCCTGGGACAGGGGCTCCTCACCCCTGCTTGGGGGTGGAGACGGCAGGCTGGGGTCCTGGAGTGGAGCCGGCTGCTGCCCTCTCCAGGCCTGGGTGGTCAGGTGTCCGCTGTCTATCTGAGAGCTTGGCTTTCTCAGCTAGGTGAGCGGCGGGAGGATGCCTGCCCCGACATCCTTCTCAGGCAGGCCCCAGACCCTGCTTCATGCCGCCCACAAGCAGCCGGCCTGCTGCACCCGCCTTCGCCGTCCGCTGGCTCCTCCCAGGCTGGGGAGAGGCGGTCTGTACACTGCACACGGGTGCGGAGGTGTGTGGGAATTCACTGTGTGCAGGGCACTGTGAGAAGCGGCCAGCGTCCACACAGAGCAGTCCGGTCCTGACAGAGACGGGGAGAGGAGAGCCAGGCCGGGACTCCTGGGCCCAGGGTGGTACGTGATGGAGTGCCCGCGGTCAGTGTCAGCTCTCCCAGCAGAGCCCCCCCCCCCCCGACCCCAGCAGCTTTGGAGGCAGCAGCAGTGCCCGGCGAAGCGTAAAAGGGTGGCAATTGCAGGCTGTGCCAAGGAGGCAAGAGTTAGCCGCTCTGTCTGGCCAAGTGCTGGGAAAGTATAGGTTGTCGTGCATCTGGGCATTGATTTTGGGCTTCACCGCTTAGGACGTGCTTAAGTGTGGGCGCCTCATCTGTGTGCCCCATCGCACCCTTCAGCCACACCCGTGTCCCGTGCCTCGGGTGCAGGTGCCCTCGGGCTGGCCTTGCCCCTGCTCGCTGGAGCCAGAAGAGCTTCCTGAAGAAGAGCTTGTTATTCTTGCTTGACAGCCATGCTGTAGGTCTGACCCCAGCAGGAGCAGAGCCCTAGTGTCTGCCTGGTGGCTCCTGGGTTCCCTGGGTGGGGCCGGGAAGCACGGCCCTGCAGCTGCACTGTGCTGAGGAGCGGGTTGTAGGGAGTGCAGTGCACCCATCCCCACAGCGCTCCCGGTCTGCAGAAGCCGGCGCACTCACTCCTTTTGGTCAGGCAGAGGCTCCCTGCTTTAACCACCTTCGAGTCTGCGAGTGCATGGTGCTGATGACGGCCACTGAGATGCACTCACCCAAGCAGAAAGGCACCTGACCCTCAGTGCCAACTTCCTGTCCTCCTCCCCAGCCCGGGAGCCGCTGCCCTCTGCCGTGGAGCCTGCTCGCTCTGGATGCCTCTGTGGGGGAACGGGGGTGTCTGTCCCGCCTGGATTCACTGAGCTCAGCACAGGGCTGTGTTTCCAAGCAGCTCTGCCCCATGCTCCTAGCCCAGGCTCTGTGATTCTTGAAGAAGACAGCATGGCCTTGCCAGCCTGGGGAAGGGCTCCTGGACTCAGCGAGGCTGTCCCGGAGTGTGTGCAGTGCACCTGTAGGGACAGAGCCTCAGGTAGCTCCTCTGGTCCTGGGAGGCCTCGAGCGGGGCGGCTGCAGGCCTCCGCGTCTGGTGTGGCCAAGGATGGGCACCCTATGAAGCAGCCGGGCAGTGGTCTCTGTGGGGACCATCACATGCTGGCCACACATGCTCCCTGGGGCGGAGGACACCAGCTGTGTGTTTCGGTCATTTTCAGCGGGGTTGCCTTTTACCTTTTCCCTTCTGGCAGTCGGTGTCAGCAGTACGTGAGGATGACGCTCTCCTGGGGAGCCGGCGGGGGCGGGCGTGACACGGCTCGCCGCTCTCTCCCTTCCCCTGTCTCTTAGTTCCCTCCCTTTTGAAAAAGAACAATCTCCATGTTTCCTGCTATCTATTTTCTATTTTGCTCTTCTATTTTGTATTATACTTTGGGTTTCTCATAAGAGAAACCATGTTATATTTAAGCTTGTGCATGACTTATTTCACTTCCTGTCATGGTCTCAAGCTGCATCCATTTTCCTACAAAGGACTCAAGCTTACCCTTCTTTGGGGCAGCATAGTGCTCCATTGTGTGTAAATGTACACTTTCTTTATCTCTTGCTCTGTTGATGAACACACAGGCCGCCTTAGCTTCAGTGATTGTGAGTGGCCCTGCTGCACACATGGGGGTGCATGGACCACAGCGCTGTGACTGTCTGTAGCCCAGTGCTGTGGAGTCAGGAAGGAGGCTCTGACCAGGGCATTGCTGTGGCCTCGAGGAGGCTATGTGACCAGGGCCCCACAGCAGCTCTGGCTCCTTGGTGGTCTCTTGCGCTCCCTCGGCCAGAGGAAGCATAGAGCCTTCCACCTGGAGCAGCGGGGTCCCTTCCACGTTATAGCATAGGCAAGGAGGCATAGGGCTCAGAGAGGCTGGCGAGGGACAGTCCGTGAATTTCCCGCAGCAAGGCTGTCCTCGCATCATGGACTGCACTGAAGCGTCATCATGACGTTGTGTCTCACGCTCTCCCTAGCACACCGCAGAGCTGCGAATGAGCCCAGAACATGGGAGTCACCCACTGCTGTCTGCCACACGCCTCCCCGCAATGTGGAGTAGAAGGGTGGGCAGAGGTGCCCACTCCCAAGCTAGGTGCAGTGGTGCTTACCTGTAACTCTGGCACTCAGGAGGCTGAGGCAGGAGGATCGAAAGTTCAAGGCCGGCCTGGGCTACATTGAGAGTGCAAGGTCAGCCTGCTTGGACCATGCAGAGAGTCCCTGTCTTGCAAAAGTAAATAATGAGCACCCTGTGGTTGCAAATGCTCTTTTCCTAGCTGATGCGTCACATCCCTGCAGCTTAGTTGCTCTTAGTAGCACATTACCACTCACGCAAATAAATCCCATCACACAGAGACGAAGTGGGGAAGGTTGCTTAATTATTTCACCTCCCTTTTTCAGGAAAAGGGGGTTCTCAGACCTCTGTCTGAGTGTTTTGTACAAATCATCTTCCCCCATGTGCATGTTTAGCTTTTCCCACTGAGCTGCAGTTTGTCTTTAGATTCCTTAGCGTCTCTGATTCTAAACTCCTACATTTATGCACAGAAGGGACACGGAGCCACAGCTTTTGTTGCTCTTGTGTATTTTCTGCCACTTGTTCCTTGTTTCAGGTGGAGATCAGCTCTTAAGCTCGTGGCAGTGGGGGTGGGGAGGTCAGTCTTCTGCCCCATGGTTGGTTTCCCTTTTTCTTGTCCGAGACCGTGGAAGCAGCAGCCTAGTGCTGGGCCCGGGCCCTTGCCGAGCTGACTGTGGACAAGTTGCCTTTTCGTAGTGATCACGTCTGACGTCTCCCTGGGCTGCTTAACAAACAAGTACATTGGAATTTATCTTGGGAACCTAAAAGAAAATTTATTTTAGAGAAAGCAGCCTGGCTAAAATCGGTGTCGCCAGGTGGGCTTAGGGCGGATTGGGTTGGGGGGTGCATGTCTTCGGTGGCTTTGTCCTCACTCCAGGGCCGGAAGCACTGAGCAGAGGCACTGACCAGGGACTGTCACTGCCGTCCCCACGCGGGGCACAGGGTCGTGTGAGCCGTGCTCTGCTGTGCCTGGCGGTGTAGCCGGCGTGCCTCGAGGTCTTGCCACAGGCTGGGCAGTGACGAGAGGTCTCTGGCCCACTGTGTCCCGCGGCGTGCTGTGTGCTGGGGACCTAAGCAGGGTGCTGACTCCTCTCGCTGTCGACTGTGAGCAGGTCCACTCAGCTAGTTAACCCTGGGGTAGCTAAGCTGTTCTGGAATGATCTGGACCCTCAAATATCTTACTTTGTTTTAAACTGACTTTCAAATACATGGTGACCTTTGTGTCAGATTAGACACTTTATCCCCCACCCAAAATCTTTGTATTGAAAGACATTTGAAGCCTTCTTGGTGCGATCTTAACACACAGCACTCCTGATAAAACAGCTCGGTGTGTGGTCACTGTCCAGGCAGAGTTTGTGGCCACGCCTGGCCTGAGTGTCTCTGGGGGCTGCCCCGTCCCTTGTCCTCCACGGCCTCTACTGAGAGCGGAGAGCTGTGCATAGCAAATGCAGGGTTGTTTGGTGGCAGTCTCTGTGTCGGACCCAGCTGTGCATACCCCTTCCGGCTGCTGCACCATTGCTCCGTCACACTGACAGGCTGCTCTCGAGCTGGTGCAGGCTCAGGCCTGCTCACTGATCAGCGTCCTAAGAGTCCAGCTGTGTGGTGGTTCTAGAATGATTGGAAAACATCCAACATCAAGATGAACTGCAAAATTATACATATATTTTAAAGCAGTAGATGGAACTAGATATTTTTTGGCAGGGTGGTAGGTGGGAAGGAGGAATCATTGCATCTCCTGTTAGGCATCATCCCTGTCTTACCAGGCTGCACACGCTAGCGACGGGGCGGGTTACAGCTCAGGGGCAGAGCACTTGCCTAGAATGCACAAGGCCCGGGTTTGATCCCAGAACAAGAGAAAAAGGAAGCTGCTGCTGATTGTAAGATGCATTCCTGTATCCATGGCATTAAGTTACACATCTCGCCCTTGGAGTGCCTGAAATCTGAGGAACCCGGGACACCCGGAGAGCATTACCGCTCGTGCTCTTCTGCGGTCAGTCTCCGCTGGGTCTGTGTTAGCGTTTTCACCTTTGCAAGTAGCTACTTAAGTTTTGATGTTTTAATGCATTAATCAGCACCCACATTCAGATGACCCCATGCTGTGTGCCCCAGGGGATTCTGACGGAGAACACCTCAGTCTAACCTGGGGTGGGAGGACACTCGTGTCTGACACTAGAATAACCCAGTGTGACATGACCTTCTGCGAAGATGTGGCTTTTCTGTCTCAGAGTCCCTCTGGGGTAGATATCAGCCGCCCTTGGCGAAATGGCTGTGCAGCCTGTGTAAAGACCTCCGGAGGATTCTGCCACAAGAGATCCTCCTGTGAGTAACGGGCCTGTGCCCTGGGAGAGGGTCTCTACCTGTGACCTGGCCCCTTTGCTCAGTTCATAGCTTAGGTCTTTGACGTTCAGTTCTGTAATCAGTGTGGATAGAAACTTAGGATAATGCGCTTGAGGCTGGGGCCCAGCTGGCTGCTCCTTTGTAAACAGGCCAGCACAGTGGTGGGGCCAGGCTGTGTCACTGTGGCCCTGCAGTGTCAGTGATACGCTGCTGGAACAGGGACCCAGCTGGCAGTGTGGGGGACCAGGTTCCTGGGCCCAGAGCATGCTTTCGCCGGCCTTGGTGACGTCTGCCCTGGGTGTCCACACCCCATGCTGTCTGGGGGGCAGCGGAGCCAGGCCAGCATGTGGCACTGCTCACAGTTACTTTGTGCTGTGGTGACATTTCTGTGTAGCCTGTCCGGTGTCCTCCGGGACTCAGGCCACCCATGTGAGCCGCAGCAGGAGGACGCACGCAGGAGCTGGCCGCTGAGCTCTGGGCCGCACCGTGTGGGTAGACAGCGGGGCTGTGCCAGGCAGGGGCAGCACCCAGCAGGGCCTGTGGGGTGGGTGCTGTTCATTCTCTCTGAGCTCTCAGTGCTGTGTTTGAAAGTTCGCCTTCCTCCCCTGTAGACAAGAGGGTGCCTGCAAGACAGCATCTGGGAGCCAGCTGCCTGCTGTGTGGACCGGGCCAGAGAGATCTCAGTGAAGGGCGTCCAGAGCCCTCCTCCCTGGGGACAGAGTCCTGATTAGAAAGAGGGCGAGTCTGGTGTCCCAGACCGGCTGTACGGAGGCCTGTGTCTCTGGGGGCATTTGACCCTCCTGGCAAGTAACTTGCCATGGACTTGATTTATTATGAACCTTTTTATCTCTGCTACTTTGCAGAAATGTTATTGAAAGTTCTGAGATTTCTCTGAAGTACTCTGTGTCTGGGGACAGCGTTTTTGAGACATTTGAGATTTCAAGGCAAGATATAAAACCTGGTGCAGTTCATGTGGGTCCCTTGAGTTATGTCTGCTCATTGGCTTTTAAACGAAATCTGCAGAAATGCTGTGTGGACGTGAAAGGCACATGCAACGTCTCCACCTGGGTTGGCCCATGTGGATGACACACGTATCGCAGTAGGACCTTTACATCAAGTTGTGTGACTACATTTGATTTTTCAGTGCTGAGTCAATTGTGTTTTCCTTCCAATCCTAGCACCAGACAGATCGTCAGAGGGCCTGAGTGAGGAGGGAGAGGAGAGGAGAGTGAGGAACGAAGAACGAGGCCTTGGCCTGAGCCTCAGGGAATTGTGGCTTCCATGTTTTGGGTTGAAACAGTGCAATTCTTGGGTTTAGTCTCCCCATCCAAAATAACACTGTTAATTTTTTCATTTGGTGAATTTTCACACAAACGCTAATCACACGTTCTATAAATGATATTAATTTAACTTATTTCCCTAAACGTTGTTCCGCAGCATGTAGCACGGATGTTCTTGGATTCTTGGCTGCCTGGAGGGTTGCAGTTGGATGCATAACAGAAACATCTGAGCGGCTTTGCTGGAGCTGGTTGCTGAGCCTCCGCTCGCTCACCTCTGCTCCTCCCCTTGCATGTAACCTGCTGTCTTGACACTGCCCTGGGGTTGGCTTTCTGGAGAAAGCTCTGTCATTGTTCAGGAGTCAGCTGAGGGCTGGACAACTGGGCTCGCAGGAGGGTGACGCCCAAGTGACAAAGAGAGCTGTAATGACTGTTCTTGTCCCCATGAAGAGAAAGTCATATATTTGAAGCATAACTTAACTTTTTTCTTCTTTTCAGAGTATGATTTCATCCATTGTAAATAGCACATATTATGCCAATGTGTCAGCAACCAAGTGCCAGGAGTTTGGGAGATGGTATAAAAAATATAAGAAGATTAAAGGTAAAATGACTTCCTTGTCTTTAAAGCCTATTTTTTTAAGGTCAATGAGTTGTTGGTTCTTTGGAATATACGCTAACTTCAGATGTTGCTTCTTTGTGTTTTATTATGAAGGTAAGAATCTTAATATTTCTGTCATGAGATGCAAATCGGCCCCCTTAGAACCTTGATGGTGTTAGAACCAAAAGTAAAGTCTTAGCATAATTTACCGAGTGTGTAGCTCTCCCCAGTGATACTCTGTGAAGACCAGAGCCCTTCAGGAAGTGAGACGCAGTCATTCCAGGCCAGATCAGCGCCTGGGTGTGATGTCCACTCAGCGTCAGGAACGCTGGTGGGAAGGTCTCCAGACTGTTCGCTCGAGAGGCGGTTCCAGAGCGGTGGGTAAGCGAGGGCCCTGCACCCTGACAGGCACGTGTCCAAATGTGTCTTCTACTGGCCAGTGCCAGCCGTGAACCTGACCAAGATTCAGTCTCCCCATTGCAAAATAGGAAAAAATAAAAGTGTCTCAGTCCCTGGGTAGTGTGAAAACTAGAGAAGACAAAACTGGAGTAAAGTAATCTCTTAATAACTAATAGCTGCAATGCTGTAATAATTAATGGTAGGAGGAGAGACAGAAGCAGTGTGCATCTCCATCTGGAACGATGTCTGGTCTCAGACGACCCAGCTCTTTAAGCACAGTGTGATGCTTTACCTTGGTGAATATGTTAAGTGCTCACTGCACTTCCGATAAACCCAGCAAGTCCCTTGGGATTTGGGTTGTACTTTTGCAGGTTGACATCTGAGGGCCCTTCCGGTCCTCACTTTGTGTGATTGTGACATCGTTCATCACGCTCTGGCAGGGGTGCACAAGGCCTTGCTGACAGCTCCTGCACCTTCTGAGGCCCAGGGACAGTCACTGTGGGTAGGAAAGGGAAGGACACAGGTTTCCTGGGGGCCAGGGCACCATGGTCGTGCTTTTCGCACTGGGATGTGCGATCCTGTTCACAAGGTTATCTTTGAGGAAATGAGCTTTCCATGCACTGGCAACGTTTTTCTGATGACAAAGGAACAAGAGCATTTTATGCTAAGCAAACAATTTAAAAGGAAACCCACAGTGTTGAGCTACCTGGGAGAATTAAGTGCACTGAAACTTGAAGACCCATTCTATGCACGGTGTTCTAAAACTCAGAGCCCTTTCAGTGCAGGTCCAGGCACTTGCTGTGGAATATTAAACTCATCCTCGTGCCGGAGAGGCTGAGCGAGGCTGTCTGCAGTGTGGCTGCGGGTTCAGAGGGGCTTCTTTTCTGTAAGTGCTGCCTCCAGGTTTTTCTGTGGAAATAGGATTGTTAAAGTGCCTGAACATATCCTCTCTGGCTAAGAATCAAAAGCATCAGGCAGCTCAAGGTCATTCGTTAGATCCCATTTACTTGGTGTTCTAAGCAGAAAGAAGAGCATGTCCTCCTTTAACATCTTCCAGACTCAGCAAGACGCAGACCCTTCACTCTAGTGCTCTCAGAATTGCTGCTGGAAATATGAGCACGCGTGCATTTGTGTGTGTGTGTGCCTGCAGGTGTGCACACCTTCACATTCACGTCTTCTGCTCTTCTTTCTTAGAGATTCAATTCTCTAAGCTCTGTTTTTTTCAAGATAGTAAATGCACAGTTAAATTTTTAAGTGCCATAAAAGCAGACTGAGACCTTGATTTCCTTCAGGAGGTCAAGGACCGCACTGAAGAGGCTGTCAGACACCATGTGTGCACACGCCACTCACCATTGCCGCTGGAGAGGGTGTGTGTGTGTGTCTGTGTGTGCACAGTGGGAGGAGGGAAGGGAAGGTTAAGGTATGTGTGAAGTAAACACAAGCTGCCATAAAACAGTTCAAGTGGTGTTGATTCATCAGCCAAGGGAGTGGGAGGGAAAACAAAGCATGCATGGCAGGTAGAATAGTGCGCAGAAAATAAACACCCAGAGAAGTGCGTTTTATTAACTTTCGACCCTTGGGGAAAAGGACGTGCTAGCCCGGATGGGTATAGCTCTCTCGTCCTAGATGCTTAGCTCTGAGAGGAACTGTTGAGATGGGCACTCCTGTCCCCCGCACCCATTTCTCATGGGAAAGCAGCAGTGTGGTTAGTAAAGCCCATGTCCATCAGTTTTCCAAATGCACCCAGAAGTGGTGAGCTGCAGATCTAGAGTCTGTGGTGCAGTGCCAGAATTCTACCCTGGGGCTCCTCCGGGACCCAGGAGTTGGGGTCCCCATGGCTCCCTGTCTCTCCCTTTGTTTCACCACCCCAGTTACCGGTTTACGTCCAGGGGGCTGGTGCTCAGCGTAGACCAGTCTCGAGCTGGCTCACTGATGTCCCAAAGTAAATGCCGCTGCATTGTTAAATATGTTTCTTATTATCTGCTAATGTCTGTTTTAATAAAACAGTGGGAACTAAATGGTTGCTTCTTAATCAAAACCATGATTTTCTAAACATAAGCTATGTGATTCTATTACAAATTGCCACGTATAGATCTCCTAGGTCAAAATTTTTTTCTTTTCTCATAGAAATAAACAGTAAAATAATTATATACTCTGAAAGATCAAAGTAAATATGACTCAAACCTGGCAAAAATAAAAGTCTACTGGAAGGATTAAAACAAGAGATCAGATTGCAAATTCTATAGTTAATGCTTAAATAAATAGGAGAAAAATGAACAATCAATAATTTGATATCATTAAAAACAGATGTAAAAACTATATACAAATGGAATGGTCTAAATTTTGGAGTAAACATTTTAATGTGCATTTTTTGAATTTGTTGTTGTTATAAGTAAACTATTTACACTTGTCCTTTAAAAAGCCCTAAATCGGTTTGGCTTAGCATGCTCACTTTATTTTCCACCGTGATCGCAGCAAAGCACATTCTGTTTACCTTTTTTTCTTTAGTTTCAAAGACAATCAAGGTTGACATAGACATATTTGAGTTATCATTGGCATTACTTCAGGAGAGACAGGGAGACAGAGTTTGCGTGCTCTGGTTTTGAGGTCCAAGGCCCTGAACCTGTTTCCCAGGAGTTTTTGATATTGAAGAAGCCGGAGTGCATGATGGGCTGGTGGCTTGCCGCAGGGAGCTTTTTTAATTTTTTGAAAAGAGGTGGGCCCTTATCTCATACTGTCGTCGCTTCGGGCCTAGATTTTGAAGCGTGGCACTTCATAAGCTCCCAAGTGTAAAGAAAACAATGTACATTTTATGTAATAACGGCTGCTTAATGTTTAGGAGTTTCAGTGCTGGACACAAGGGAAAATGTAGGCACCTAGGAACATTTGTGCTATTATAAAATTACTTTCAAGGTCTTGGAATTATGAAGCATTTACTCTAGTAATCTTTCTTTCACAAATTCTACACATTTTAATACAACAGTTATCTGTTTTTAACCCTGGCATTCTTTTGCGTGAGCTCTAGGTTGAACTTTCTCATTTTTACAGTGCTGTGGGTTCGTGTGCACGCAGCCCTGCCTGTTATAGTTCAAGCCAGTCTGCTTCTGCAAGGGCAGCAGAAAGCAAGAGGAAGCATTCCCAGAGAAGGGCTTACCTGTTTTAAACGTATACTAATTAGTCTTTTAAAAAGTACAATTTTATATCTAAAATATTTCTAATTTAAAATGTTTTTTTAACAAAGCATGGTGAATTATCATTTTTAGTGAGGCTAAACTCCAGTATTTAATATATCTGAAGAATTCAAAAGAGTCATTCAGAGTTCACACAAAACCTGGTGGCTATTGTAAAATTATTTGTGTCATCGAGTAATACTACTGGGACGAGTGGACCTAACAAAGCCCCGAATTTTGGCCAGGATGCAAAATTATTCCATCACATCCTTGTTCTCAGTCACTGCTCAAGACCCCCTGATTGCTAGTTTTCTTAGCTTTGTTTATTTGAGCTTATTTTGTGAAATATTAAAAAATCTGGCTGAAAGGAGGATTTAAAAAAAAACCAGTGTTACTTCTCTGAGCCCAGTTTATTCTAGCAATCAGTATTTTATCTGACCCTGTCTGATCTAGTCTTGCAAGATCAAACGTCCAGGCCAGCAGGCAGACAGTAAACAAAGCCCATGAAGGGTTTTGGTAAACACAAAGATTAGATGTTGAATGAAAATTAAACTCCTTGAACTAGTCTTCTGTACTAAAGTGGTTAAGTGGGTTGTGATTAAAAGAAATAAGTAATTATGATCATTATAGCTGAAATGATATAATGTTACCACATTTAAAGCACCTCTTGTACCCAAAAATGATTGTGTCGTTTACAAACTGGTGCCTCCGAGTTGAGTGGCCAAGTCACCGGCTCCTGAGCTGGTTCCATGAAGCAGCTCTTGCTAAGCCCGGTGGGGTCAGTGATTGGGACAGTGCCTGCCCTAGGCCCCTGAACTTCTGCCTCTGGGCTGCTGAGCTCTGAGGAGATAAAAGGAGCTTCCTCTTGCCTACCTCATTCTTCCCAGTCACAGAAGAAACTCGCTTTCACCTTCAGATATACATGAAGGTGTGCTCTGAGGCAGTCTGTCTGCTCTAAGCTTGAATTGTACCCTGCTGCAGGTAATACCAGCATCAGACCCTTTGAATTTTGTGTAAATAGTGGATTTGTGGACAGAGCACATCGTTTCCAGACAGACATGCTCCACCTCCTTGCTTGGCCCCAGGTAGAAGCCTCCTGCCCGTTCCAGCAGGGGCGGCTGGGGAGCTGGGGTGTCCACCTCAGTGCGGCTGGGAGACCCTGGGTGGGAGCTTCAGAAGTGCACTCAGGCGCGTCGGGCGCTGCTGCTTGGGCCTGCACACGTGCACACGCCGATGTGTGATTGAGTGCTAGTAACGTGGTTTGAAGGTTGAAAGGAAAACGCTATCTATGTGTGCATTATTTATGATGCCCTTTAAATACGTGTTCTAACAGGATGGGAAAGTTACCTGTTCTCCCGTCTCTGCTGTCCAGCCACGCAGCCAGCCTGGACACTTGCTCTTTGAAAAAAGTGTGAGTTCTGGTTTCTGAGAGCC